TATATATATAGTAATATCACTGGAACATAATATTGAATGAACAGGCTTTGAGCTAGTTCTCAATCTCAACTCTTCACTTAAATAGTGAATTATAAATTAGAGAAATATGTAAAAGCAGTCTAATCAAATACTTTAATTGGATTGATTTGCTATTGAGTGGGCACTAGCCATACTCACTCACATAGCTACATCCCTGCTCACATTCATCATTTTGGCGTGGACAATTATGTCATTTTTAGGGAGCTAAATAAAGAACAAACTGTCTGCACCTACTGGGACATCTGATTGGACAGCTGGATATTAAAAACAGGACCTCAGCCAGAAAACACAAAACACATCTGAACTCTGAGGGGGGAGTAAAACGAGAGACTTAACTTTGCATCTTTTTCTGATGCTTACTATTTCACACAGTGTATGAGAAAACCATCAGCCATGTTTTGTGTGTATATTTCTTTATATTTCCTGCAATTTGCATCAATTCAGTCATTCAGTACTTACGTTTGATGAAGTGAGAGAAGCAGAGAGATGGACATTCTAACCTATTTCTTACCAAAGCCAGTATTGTGATGTCACTGCTACAACAGGCCACCGGAATGGAACTGAAAATGCTTTGGCACTCACACGGATAAAGTTGAAACACTCTTCTGTGATCGACTGTTTCAACATGTAGTGAGTGAGTGCAAAGCAAAGCAAAACAGAAAAACTTTCTGCCCCCCCAGGATGCAATGCAACTGTGACACTAAACCTGAAAGGGCAGAAGGATCATGGTTCGGTATATTTAAAAGCAGCTTTAGATAGTGTAAATAGTAGTGAGTGACCACAATGGTTCTGTTTTCCACAGAGGAGGATTCGTTGGTAACCTGCTGCTCCACTATATAAACAAATTTCTCATATTCATTCCAGTAGCCAATCTGCAAGGGACAGAAACAGCAACAGCATAAACAGAATCAATCAATCAATCACAGTCGACCAATAACAGAAAAACAGCAATTCAGTAAGAGAATGACTCAGTAGAAACGTGATCTCATGACTGATGGAGGAGGAAAGCAAGTATGAGGACAGCTGGAGCGTTTAAGTGTATGTCAAAGGGGTCATATCATAAAAAAAAAAAATATTTACTCACACTATATGAAAACATATTGTAACTTTTAAAAAAAGAAAGAAATGGGCAAAAATGTAACATTTAATGATGAAGGTCTAAAAAAGGGCAGAGAAAATCTAATTTGTATAGTTTTAGTTTTTATTGCTACATATACATACACACACACACATAAATATACATATATAGCAACTTAAAGTGATTGTGGCTTCACTGTGACAGTAATATTGTGTGAATTTATAGAAACTGCCCTCCGAGAGCCACTAACCTTTCTGGCTCCTCCTGGTTTCATTTCATAAACATCAATGGTGTAATTTGATCGCCGTCCAAACGAGTCGAACTGAATATTTCCTGTCATACCCTGAACCTGAACCTGCAGGAGGAAAGCACACAGGAACAGTAACACCCACAAAATAACAAGCACAGCAAAAAAGTAAAGCATGATACAACATTATTAAATGTAAAGGAAGTATCATATAACCATATAGACCCTTATGTAGCCCGCCCCTTTTCAGCACTGTGTTCATTGTGTTCTGTCTTCTGGTTTGTATTTCCACAGCATGAAGGTAAGATCTTATGGATTTATGAATTAACTGCTCGTTTTAAAATATTCCCGGTCTACTGACATTTTATATGGCATCCACTTCATACATTACAATGCTCATGATAACTTTTGTTAACTCTATAATAAGTAAATCCACTTCAGCAGCTAATTACTCATTAACAGCGATGCCATAGAAATATACAGAGCGACTGCACAAACGGAAGTGAATACAAAATTTGAAAGATGGTTGTGCGCTTGTTTCTCTGGCACATAAGGTCTAAAGGTAAAAAGAAACTATATATATATAGTAATATCACTGGAACATAATATTGAATGAACAGGCTTTGAGCTAGTTCTCAATCTCAACTCTTCACTTAAATAGTGAATTATAAATTAGAGAAATATGTAAAAGCAGTCTAATCAAATACTTTAATTGGATTGATTTGCTATTGAGTGGGCACTAGCCATACTCACTCACATAGCTACATCCCTGCTCACATTCATCATTTTGGCGTGGACAATTATGTCATTTTTAGGGAGCTAAATAAAGAACAAACTGTCTGCACCTACTGGGACATCTGATTGGACAGCTGGATATTAAAAACAGGACCTCAGCCAGAAAACACAAAACACATCTGAACTCTGAGGGGGGAGTAAAACGAGAGACTTAACTTTGCATCTTTTTCTGATGCTTACTATTTCACACAGTGTATGAGAAAACCATCAGCCATGTTTTGTGTGTATATTTCTTTATATTTCCTGCAATTTGCATCAATTCAGTCATTCAGTACTTACGTTTGATGAAGTGAGAGAAGCAGAGAGATGGACATTCTAACCTATTTCTTACCAAAGCCAGTATTGTGATGTCACTGCTACAACAGGCCACCGGAATGGAACTGAAAATGCTTTGGCACTCACACGGATAAAGTTGAAACACTCTTCTGTGATCGACTGTTTCAACATGTAGTGAGTGAGTGCAAAGCAAAGCAAAACAGAAAAACTTTCTGCCCCCCCAGGATGCAATGCAACTGTGACACTAAACCTGAAAGGGCAGAAGGATCATGGTTCGGTATATTTAAAAGCAGCTTTAGATAGTGTACCATAATAGTAGTGACCACAATGGTTCTGTTTTCCACAGAGGAGGATTCGTTGGTAACCTGCTGCTCCACTATATAAACAAATTTCTCATATTCATTCCAGTAGCCAATCTGCAAGGGACAGAAACAGCAACAGCATAAACAGAATCAATCAATCAATCACAGTCGACCAATAACAGAAAAACAGCAATTCAGTAAGAGAATGACTCAGTAGAAACGTGATCTCATGACTGATGGAGGAGGAAAGCAAGTATGAGGGCAGCTGGAGCGTTTAAGTGTATGTTAAAGGGGTCATATCATGAGAAATATAATTTTCCTTGAGCTTTCAAGAGAAAATATTTACTTGCACTATATGAAAACATATTGTAACAAAAAAATTAAAAGATAAAAAAAAGGGCAGAGAAAAAACAACAAAGTAACTCGAGGCTTTACTGCGACAGTAATATTGTGTGAATTTATAGAAACTGTCCTCCCAGAGCCACTAACCTTTCTGGCTCCTCCTGGTTTCATTTCATAAACATCAATGGTGTAATTTAATCGCCGTCCAAATGAGTCGAACTGAATATTTCCCGTCATACCCTGAACCTGAACCTGCGGGAGGAAAGCACACAGGAACAGTAACACCCACAAAATAACAAGCACAGCAAAAAAGTAAAGCATGATACAACATTATTAAATGTAAAGGAAGTATCATATAACCATATAGACCCTTATGTAGCCCGCCCCTTTTCAGCACTGTGTTCATTGTGTTCTGTCTTCTGGTTTGTATTTCCACAGCATGAAGGTAAGATCTTATGGATTTATGAATTAACTGCTCGTTTTAAAATATTCCCGGTCTACTGACATTTTATATGGCATCCACTTCATACATTACAATGCTCATGATAACTTTTGTTAACTCTATAATAAGTAAATCCACTTCAGCAGCTAATTACTCATTAACAGCGATGCCATAGAAATATACAGAGCGACTGCACAAACGGAAGTGAATACAAAATTTGAAAGATGGTTGTGCGCTTGTTTCTCTGGCACATAAGGTCTAAAGGTAAAAAGAAACACAAACCATTTAAAATCCATCAAATGTAAATGCTTATCTAAACATCATTGCACATTCACTGATCATTAAAAAATTTGAACGCAGCTTTTTTTCCCTAAATGTTTTTTCTATCTCTGAGGCCCTTTATGGACCCCACCTACCATTTTGAGAGCTCTCTCAATGTCGATTCCCTGGCTCCACGGTACAGCCGGGTTGGCAAGGCAATCGCCTGCACTCCCTCGACGAGAAATATCAACACGCTGACGTCTCAAATGCCGAAATGCTTCAGCTATCACCAGGATGGCATCATGTGTCAGTGCAGAGGTGTACTAAACATGAGAACAAACAGATAAATGGTTTACATGTATGGGCACATCGGTATAAAAAGTGAACCAAGCAGACATTCACATGCACAACACTCAAAGCTCATATTCTATTCTATTTAACACTCAGTGAACAGCTGAATGAGGTGCATTATGGGAGAATTTAAGCAACACAGATATGAAACAACAAAAAGAGATGATTCATGAAACTACTGCATGACTGCTATGTTAAACTCATCAAAATATGTTATCATAAATTACTCATACACATATAAATAAATTCCGTAAACATATTCACAAGTGGCATACTCACAAATAAACACATCATCACTAATGCACATAAATAAGAATAGAAATAAAAAGACAGAGAGACCTTCAGGGGGGTGTTTCTAGACTCAGGGAACTCTCTCTCATCGAGCCGCTCCCAGCGCTGAAGGAACTGCTGCACGATCGGGCTATCGGGATTTATGATTTGGAATCCGGTAATATTTGCTCCGCCAGAAAACACCTTATCCAAACTCATGTTAGAGAATCCCTGCAGAGAGCAAGGGTCAATGGTAAAAAGTGAAAAGTCACTCACAGAAGGTTAAGAAAGAAGAGATCTGGGCATGTGTGTGTATTTTCTCACAAGATTAGCCAGGATGTAATGATATCCTCGACTGTTCTTTCCTGAGATCACGACCTGGAAATAAAAGAATGGAAGAGTGTCACCCAGCATTATGTCTGATTGTTTATGCAGACCATGAGATCAAAAAGAACGAATCAGCAAACAACAAATTAAATGCAAAAGCCTGAAGAACTGATGTGATTCTGTAACTATGGGCACTTTGTGGTCCCAGCGGTGAAAAAAAGGTGGAAAGCGTGCTTGAGTTTTTCTTTTTTTTAATAGTAAATAGCTGGGGGGGAAAATGCACTGGGGAAAATTACTGTGTTTTTCTTTTTATTAATAGTATAGCTGAATACTGGGGGGGGGGGGCACAAAAAATACTAAAACTTAAAAATTTAAATGAAAACAGAAAATATAAAAACTAGTTAATTTAACTAATTAAAAATTATAATTTTTTAATTTGTTAAAATAATTTTAAAATGATCTTAATTTGCTAAATTAACTTTAAAATTAACTTCACTTAAAAATTAAATTAATTTTTAACTATTTTAAAATATTAATAAACACTATCATAGTATCCCAATTATACTAAAATAACAGCACTCAAACAATACTTCCCCCAAAAATGTCATTACTGCATTTTTAACTGTGGTGGTGCTGACGAAAAGAATACAACACCACATTCCATCTGTGGAAATATACATTTAAATTGTTTTTGTTTAAACAAACCCGGTCAGTAGTGCCCATATTCACATAATCAGAAATGAAAGAAGTGTCTCCATTGTCCTGCTTGAACCAGTTGGGCGCAATCGAGCTGTTATAATATTGTGTCTTCCCACACATCACAGGACTGTGTTATTATTTATTGTTCTGCAAAGTGTAGCACTTGAATACATTGGCAATATTGAAATTTTTAATGCCGTGCCAGTAAAGCTTTGCTGACTCTTAGGCACAACATAAAGGTACGACCCAACCACACCCACACACACACAGCTATTGATTTACAAATAGCAGCAGACAGCCAGTCTGCTAGAAGTGCAGAGCTCTGATTAGCTTTCTCTGAGTGCTGATTGATCAACTCGTGGATTTCATTATCTCTGTGACCTCCTAGTCACATACAGACACACACACATTCTTTTCTCTCCATGTATATGTGTGTGTGGGAAAAAGCTAGGAAAGTAGAGACAGAGGGTAAAAAACAGAAAGACAAAGAACAAGTGAAAGAGACAAACAGAATCGGAGAATGTAACAGTACCTTTGAGAGCTGTATTTTTGGATGAGAGGAAAGGGAGTATTTTTAGTTTTCTCACTGTTCCCTTGTTACAGGACGCTGTGCCCTACTTACACAAACACACGCATGCTCTCACACACACTATTTTTATCACCTTATTTGCTAAGAACGGTTGAATTTTGGAAAGGTATTAATCAATACCACAAAACTGAGACAGAACCGTTCCCCACCACGACAGACAGAAAGACAGTCCCTGTAAACTGACTGACAGATTCACAGTCCGACAGATTAAATGAAATTAAATGATGTATGCATATGTGTTTTTATGTACCTGCTCTAGAATACTGTTAATACGTTCCACCTCACAGTCGATAAGGAAACGTTTCTCCTGCCGACGATCCATTTCTTCAATAATGCGCCGGTATTCCAGTGGATCCACTATGTTCCCCACCGAACGTGCTGTCACCTGCCAATTATTCATCACTGCAGATTCCATGATGGCCTGTAGGATGGAAAACCCTGAGAGAGAAAGAGAGAATAATACATGGTGTAAAATACACCGCTACGCATGGCTTGTGTAGATGTAGTAACAGGGCAGAATTGGGCCAGAATGATGGAGCAAGTACTGCTTCATTTCTCTCTCTGGTTTGAGAACATAGAGGAACTGCTGATGCAGTGCAAATCTGAAGGGATGAAAGGAGGGAAGGCAAAGAAAGCAGCATGGTGAATGTAATTACTGCAACTCTGTACTAATGATGCTAATGCAATGGTAGAACACACATATTTTTATATCAAACATATATACGTTTGTGCATATGTGTGCAGGTGCGTATCAGGCTTTCATTCATATATTTCAGATAGGCTTCACTATAGATCAGATCCATTGCAGATTATATCTTTACGCTACTAATCAGGTCGGCTGCAATACATCAGATCCACTGCAGCACATATCAGACCCCTGCATAGGCACCC